ACCTAACTAATAGAAAATACAGTCTGAGAGACTGTGAGGGAGCTCCTGCTCGCTCCGTCCGCTGACGAGGGCGGTTAAAGAGGAACTGAAAGGGAGGGGGTTGAGCCGCGCGCTGCAGAGGGCGGGAAGGGCTCGAGACGCCCTCTGGGCATGCGTGGCTCAACAGGGGGAAAACTGCTTTGAAAAGCCTATAACAGAGTTTAAAGAGAAGCTAGATAACTTCCTGGAAGTTAGGTCCATAAGAGGCTATTAGCCAGGGGATAGAAGTGGTGTCCCTGGCCTCTGTTTGTCAGAGGCTGGAGAAGGATGGCAGGCGACAATTTGCTGATCATTGTTCTTCGGTCCACCCTCTCTGGGGCACTTGGTGCTGGCCACTGTCAGCAGACAGGCTACAAGGCTAGATGGACCTTTGGTCTGACCTAGTACGGCCGTTCTTATGTGGCTCTCAAGGGTGTTGAGAAACTACTCTGTTTGAATGGCTATGGACATAAGTGGGTTCGGTCGTGCAGGTGGGGGCACTGATTGTGCGTTCCGCCTGGGGCACCAGTTGCCGCAGCCCACCTCGGGCCGCCCCGGGTACAAGAAGGGTCTTGGGGCAGGGTGTCTGGCCAGAAGGGAGGGTACAAGAGGGGATTTGGGGCAGGGTGTCAGAGCAAGCTGGGAATGCAGGCTCTTGGCAGGAGGAGAGGGGAGAGAGGGGGATATGGGTGCGAGGTCTGAGCATGAGGGGGATGCTTACCTAGCTTGGCACCCTGCTGCAGCAGGAAAAGCCTCCAGGCAGCACGCTCTTGTTCCTGGGGGAGGGAGTGAGCTCAGTTCTCCTTTCCCATGCAGTGGGGAACCCAGCGTAGATGCAGCACCAGGTCATGCTTCCCGCTGGCAGGGCGGTGGAAGGAGAAATCCCCGACCTTCCCCACCAAAACAAACTCTGCCACTTCCCCAGCAGGCTGGGGATGGGCACAGGGGAGAGAGAACAGCAGTACATTGGGGGCAGCAGAGCCTGAGCGCGCCCCAGGTGTGTGTGGGAGGGGGAGGGGCGAGAGGGAGGCAGCAGAGCCCGAGCCAGGTTCCACGCAGGCGGCAGTTTTAAAATGCCACGGTCTGAGAGCAGCTCGTCAGCTCTGGCCACCCATCCCCCTCCCAACAGCAGTGGCCACTGTAAAAGCTGCCACCTGCACACGAGGGGAGGAGGCTGCAAGGCACCAGGACAGGGGCAGTTCTGCGGGGTGAGGAGGGGCCATGCCATGCACAGGGGTGGGGCAGCCGCAGTGGATGGTGGAGCGTCCAAAGCCACAAGCCCCCAGAAGCCCGTTCTTGCCGGCAATGCCCCAATGGGAGCTGCCTATAGGTTCTGCAAGGGGCAAGGGAGCAGAATTTTTTCGTGGAACCCCAGGGTTCCACAGAGCACCATTTGGGAAATACTATTCCAGAGAATTTAGGACTTGTCTACACTAGAAAATTCCCTTTCATTCCCAAGCCCCTTCCAACTCTTGTCCCCTATAACAAAACCAAACCTTACCTCACTCAGAGTTTGACCTCTAAAAGGCGGACATGCCAGACACTTCAATTCCATTAGGAACTTTGCTCTTCCTATCAATTTATATGGAGAGCATTCAGATCCTTCACTTGATGGGAGGCAACATAAAACACTACAATAGCAAAAGTACTCAGGATCAAGCCCATAAACTACTAATGCTTCACATTATTGCTTGATTTTGTGTATATGTGTCTGTCTCCCCTCCTCTCTGTGTGTCTTAGTAGGTTTTATGCCCCAATCTTGGAGTCTTTTATTCTATACTACTATTTTACTTTATTTTAAAAAAGTGTTTTAAAAGCCGCCTCAAATATTTTAAATAGAGTGTCGGGGTAAAAATATTTTAAAATAAAAAATAAACCATAACAGTGAGCACTAATCAGCTTCCAGGCCCAGCATTATAATGTAAGGCATGTATATTATGGCCTTCTTGAATGCAGTAACTAGAAACTAAAAAGATGGAAATGCCCACTGAGTTTGCTAAAAGGGGACCATGTCTGTGCCCTTGCAGTGCCAAGTATATGAGACTGTCACCACTGGATGTCATTGGATTCTTTGGATAGAAAATTGGCCGAGTGCACTTGATTGTAATCAGAGACTACAGTTTTGTACACACTTCATCATTGAAGCTTTACAAACCATCTGATCATTTGATCTCATTACTGCTTCCTAGTAAAACGATGTTGAATAAATAAACTTCAGGGACATGGATTCGTGTTTCATTTTGTTTAACTGACTCTGACAGTTTCAAATAGACATTTTTTATTTTCAACTCAGAGGTTGAACAGAACTGCTAATAAATGCCTGAACAAATCCTTCACGAGTTTTGACAGTACCTTTTAGCCTCTAAATGACCCAGAGATCTCTCACTTGCCAGTGCAACTCTGTATAGCAGATGGTGTAGAGTGTTTTCTCTAAGCTGAAAGAAAATTGGGTTACTCACTGATAGCGGACTTCTCCATGCAATCACATTCACTGAGCATAGTGCTCAGTTGGAGAGTCATTAACATTTAAAATACAAAATGCAGATTTGGGGGATTTCTAAATGCATTTACCAGCACATTTTCTATCACACCTGATGGTAGAGCACTCTTCAGTAGCTGTTTACCTGCTTGCTATGAGAAACTATTGACATGAAACTTTGCCTTATTTGTTTCTTACTGTTTTTTAACACAAAATCACTTAAATTTGTAGCTTGAATTCATATTAAAAAAGTATCCTTGTAAAGCAGTATCAGACTTAGGTGAACACAGTTGTACTCTATTGTTATTGTGAGTTTCAAGGCCCCCCCCCCCCCTTTTTTTTTAAAATCGAGGCAAGAGCCACCTAGAAAATGTTGAATTCTGATCTGGATCCTGGTCAGCCCGCAGTACTAGTATTTAGTGCTATATTTCAGGCTCTCAAAAAAAAAAAAGCTGTACAAATGCTAATTAAGATGTTCATGACAGATTAGTACTCCCTGTGCCTTAGATGGCTCGATCCTGATTTTTTGCTAAGCTATTTTTGTTGATCACTTGAATTCTAGTGGATAAGGGTTAAATGCTTTCTTCTTCTGGTCCTATAAAACCAGTCTTGTAACATTGTCTGAGATGTAGCCACAGTAAGATTTTTTTCATAACTATGATCAGGGTATATTGATTTTAAATCAATTTAAATCACAAAAAAATGACTTAAACCAAGTTTCCCACTGCTACTACTTCACATTTCTTCAAATAGTGGTGCAAATCTTGTCATTAAAACATGTTAATTTAGAGCTCAGTATAGCATTTTTACAACAACTAAGGGGATATGCTGTGTGTATTTTTTTTGTAGATAACTTGATTTTTATTAATTTAGGAAATCTGTATATTTTAGAGTGTGTCTGCGTGTCTGTCAGTCAGTTTGTTCAAGAACTCCTCCTAAATAGTAACAGCTATTGCCAACAAATTTGGTATGCATCTTCCTCTAACTTAAAGTAAGGTCAGGGTTTGGTTGTACGAGGACAACCAAAAGCCCTGGGAAAAGGACTGTTTTCCATAACACACGAAGGGAAGGGGCTGCTGTTTGGAGAGATGTGATACAAGTTCCATAGGAGGGAGCAAGCCTGCAGGGGAGAACTATCTTGCAGAGTGTCCACGGGGGCAACTCTACCACCAAGGGTGTGACCAGCAGAGCTGTGGCTCCGCCATCTTGCCTGTAGGCACACCAAGTAGTCCCTCAGCCCTAATCCCTATTCTGGCTCTTCGCCACAATGCCAGAAGGGAAGGCCTCTGGCAGACAGGAGAGGCCAGGGGGAGAGAAAACACTCCTCGTGGCCAGCCAGGGATGGGGTGAGAAAAGGCCCATGCTGGATGAGATTCCCCCACCCTGAGTCCTTCCTCATCCTCCAACCCTCACTCCCGCACCTTCCCCCCTCTGCAGCCTCCTGCACTCCGTCACACACATCCCCAAGGCCCTGCCCTGAATCCTGCCACCCCCTGAAGGACCCAGGCAACTCTGGATAAGTCTGCTAGTAATTTGTAATACTTATTACCTGTGTCAAGCTGCAGATGCAGCAGCAGCACATTAGGAATTAAATTGTACACACAATTTAAACTAAATGGTACACACAAACAAAATAGCACTTTAAATTAAATTTTAAATATTACATAAATGTTTCATATTTGCAATTGCAGTAGTCTCTTTATGCTGTCCTTAAACTTTTTTTAATTTTTCAAATGTTATTAACTGTAACAGACAAGTTCTCAGAACATTAAATGTATGGTGTCCTTAAAACTTCTACAGCTAGCTCATTTTCCTTTCTCCCAGTGAGATTTTGATTCCAAGTTATCAAAAATGCTAAAACTGACTGTGCTTAGAGTGCATGTAATTTTGGAGTAAGCCCCATTGAAAACAAGTATAGAATGGGATTCCTTTGGGAAAGCTGAGTTAAATCAAGTGAAATAGGGAACAGATTTACAGCATCACCATTATGGTCTGTGACTGTGGGTGCCCAATTTGTGTAGCTTATTTTGAGTCTATTTCGAAATAGTTTATTTCATATTTTGGCACTGTCTACACAGCTCCAAATTTCAAAATAAGTCACTATTCTAAAATTCCCCTTAACCCTCGTGGAATGAGGGCTACTGGGATGTCGGAATAAGCTGCCCATTATTTCAAAATAATGGGCTGCTTCAAAAGACGTGTTCCTCTGCTTGAATAATTGTGTTCATGCCCCACACACTGCAAAGTGATGTTCGAGTGATTATCAATCATGACCAAGTCCTTATCAGTGTCATTACATCAAATGATAGCACCTCCCATCTTAACTGCAATCTACATTCTTTGTCCGTAGATGTTGACTTTCCATTTGAAAGTCAGTCATTTACCTTACCAACTAATCTAGGTCAACCTGTATAACTGAGCTGTGCACATTGCTTACTACTCCCTTCCCCCATTTTTGTCAACCTCCAATTTTTCCAGTAATTTTTATTTTTGGTCCAGGTAATTTATTGAAATAGTGAATAGCATTAGGCCAAGAACAGACCCTGAGATTTCACTCAACTCAACCTCACTGGAGGTTTACCAGTTTAAACTTACTGTTTGAAATTATCACTTAAGCAATATTTATTCTAATGTGGATTACACAGATTTTGTATACACTTTATTGTAAGCAAGGCAGGTATCTATTCTTTGGATGCAAACAGGGTAACTATAATAAAGAGTATTTACGGTATGAAAGTGTTAATATATCATTAATAAAAACAATTACAAAAAGTTCTATAAAACACGTTAAATACAATACAAAGTTTATTAAAAATAGGTTGCAAGTGAAATACAGTAGAAATGGGAAACTACAGCAGTTTTGATGTTTTTCCATAATAATGCACAGACAAATATGAAAAGCACTTTTACACATATTCACACTTGACCTGAATGCCCAATAGCGGCCAAATCCACTCAACTGAAGGTTATATTTATATTTTTGCTAAGCCTTTTCAGATTCTAGCAGCGACAGTATTACAGCCACAGCATAATTTTTTTTCTTAGGAAAACAGTATTTTGTCACTGTAAGGCTGCTAGTGTTTTCTAGATAAATTGGGAGAGGCTTGCTTTTCCTGATTGACAGACATAGCAAGCATGCAAATCCTTCATTAACACTTTGAATCAGTTTAATCTCCTACTTCATATTTAACAGGTGAAACGGTAAAAGCACACTTTCAAATAAGAAACCTGAAGTATGTAAAAAAAACAAATATTTACACTCCAATTTTCATTAACTTGCATTTATTTATCATACAACTCTTATTAAAAGTGATATCTTTTCTAAGGCAGTGAAAGTCTACCCCTCTGTATTTGGAAGTGTGCATAATTCCCTAAATATATATTTATAAGAGAACAATATGATACAGAAAAATCATCTAAAGCCCAGTTTAGGGCTTTGCAAATAGAAAATTTGTCTGGAATCACAATAATATATTTTGTCTCAACATCACACAAAGAGAAACAAACTCTGATGAGGTCCTTATCCCCAACATCAGCCATATATGCATAGCTGAAGAAACAACAGTGGAAGGGACAAAAATTCAACAATTTAAAATTAAATAAGGCTATTACAAGGTGTAAAAATAGCTTGAACTGCTGAGCCGATTCTTTACAGTATAAACACAATATAAAAAGGATGCAAGTAAAACCAGATAGACTAAAGCATGACTACCACTAGTTTCAATAATGGAGGTATGCTGTCAGGATAATAAGCCAAGCCATTTCACTTTCAAATTCATATTCGCAGCCATCAATATTGTATTTGATATTTCAAACAAGTATCAGTCTTACGCTATGCAATGCCCCTTTTTTTCCCCCCTCCAAAAATAGCAGGTAGCTCAACTGCTATAAAACTCCCATCAATCATGATGAACACTATCCTACCCTGTTTGGGAAATGCATGCCTTGGTTTTGCTAGCTTTTGGAACTGGAATCATCACTTCCACCGTGAACATTTAACATTTTGGTCCTAGTTATGATAGGGCCACTAAGGTAGCCTGTTAAATATTGCTTGTTATAGTCTGGTATTTCAGTACAGTGTTAAACCAAACCAAACCAAAAAAAAAAAAAAAGGTAAGATTTTTTTATATCCACAGTTTTGTTTTCTTTGAAGAGATTTGTAAACAAGACACTTCATTTACAAGAGGGATGTACACATGTATATGCTTTTCCATGGTTATGGATTCAACAGCTTGTTATGCATCCATTTCAGACCGAAACAAAAATGCCAATAGGATTAAAACTATTTCAACTCAAACTGGTTATACTGTAATGCTAGGTAATAAGAGATTTGTGCTGATATGCTAATTGTCTGTATGAACAGAATACAATATGTCAAACTTGTGTATATATAAACTTAGACCTTCGTAAAACAGCTCAGAAATTGGCTTCTGCATCAAACAACCTACAGATATCAACAGCTAGTGCAGATTAATTTCAGCAGTTCAAGCTATTGTCACTCTTTCTGCTCAGCAGCTAAACACAAAGTATGTCTGTAAAAGACCAGGAAACAGAACTTATCTTTGACAAGTGCTACTTGGTCTATTGCAGAAAAAGTTAACACCCAAAACAAAAAGAAAAAAGTGACCTTCACGTGATTCATAGAATTAAAATTATACAGTGCTTTAATTGTATAAACCACAAGCTCTTGGTAATCAGTATTCTTGCTATTGCAAATCTCTACTCAATTAACAGTCAGATACAGAGGAATCAAACTCACTCTTCACAGACAATACACTCTTGTCTTGAACAGCCCCGTCCCATTCCCTTATTTCAGAGATCTTTCAGTAATATTTTATAAGGTGCTTTTATCTTATTTTGTGTTCAACTCATTTTCCAGTTCCATTAATTTCCTAGAAGCCTTTACTTTATTGGATACATCCTGGCCCTGGGAAAAAAGTCGTTGACGTTCCCTAAATGTCAAATTCTCTGGTGCTCCAGGTAGATCTGTATCTTGACTGAAAGAAACAAAATGTTTGTTACAAAACCTAATTTTAAACTTTTTTTCATAAACGTTTTGCATCCATGTAAGTGTAACTCAGAAGCACGAAGACTACCGACAAGGGAGAATGAAGTCTGCTCTACCACATGAGCTAACGGCCAACTGGCTCTCAGCTAAGGCTGTTAGAGGTACATAGCTTTAGCCCAGAGGTGGGCAATAATTTTTGAAGGGGGGGCTAGTTCTCAAATTTCTGAAGTGGTTGCAGGCCACCTCAGAAAGGGCGTGACCTTGGGTGGAAGGGGCAGCACCAGAGGCTTCCCATATTCCCCTGCCCACAGTCCTGGATTGCCAGCGGACAGGGGGAGTGCATTAAGTCTTTGCCCTCATCCCCAAGTGCCTAGAGAGAACTGCCATCTCCCCCACCCCCAGGTCTTGACTGGCCTGGGGGGCAACAGAGTGGCAGGGCAGCTGTGGGCTGGATCTGGCCCATGGAGGCTGTCTTGCCCACCCCTGGAGTAAGGGATTTTAGTGCAGTAAAACCTGTGAGGTCTGGGAGGGAGTTTGGGTTAAGGAGGAAGTTGTGACCTAGGGCACAGGATTGGGGTGCAGGGGTTTGGGTTGTGACCTAGGGTAGGGGGAGATTGTGATCTGGGGCAAGGGATTGGGATGCAGGGGATTGGGGGGGGAGACCAAGGGTTTGGCTTATGTGGGACGGGGATAGAAGTGGGGGGAACTAGGGCAGAAGGGAGGAGATGAGGTGCCAGAGGCAGGCTCTGGCTGGGAGACTTACCTGTGTAATGACTCCCAGCTAGCAGCCCAGCATATTTCTTAGGCAGGAGCCTGCCCAGTTCCCACACAGGCTGCAGGGCTATATGCTCTGTGAGTAAGAGCCAGAGGGAGGGGT